GGTCATCACCCTACAAAGCATAATTCATGTTTCATTTCTTCACTGTGTGAGTCCCTTGGAAAAGCAAGAGTTGATATCTGTAATTTAACTTGGCTTGGTATCTTTCCATCAGTGAAGCAGCTCAGGTGCACACTGAATTTTGGGGCAATGGACAGACTTTGCAGATTATCCCCACCTTTAATGTAAATGCAAAATGCAGCTTAAATTTTACCAATTTTGTGAAAAGTGTGGTCAGTTGGTGAGTAAAGTTTGACAACAGAAATTTTTCTGGTTTGTCCTAAGAGTTGAAATACAATTAATCAAGTGACATTGTGTCTTATAAAGAATTATGATCTATAATCTTCATTGTCTCGAGGTGATACCACTTACTTTCTGCAGATGTCTTTGAACATAATTGCAGCCCTCTGAGACCAAAATGTGTATTTCAGTATGAACAAAGACTGCCCATATCCAGTATAAAAATTTTATTTAAGGAGAAATTGCCAGTGTTTTTTTTTTCTTCTTTAATTTCAGTTACTCTTGTGCTTTAAATTTACATTTTTGTAACGTAAAAATATTTAACCATACTTTCTAGGGTCATTAAATTTGTATTTAGTAGTTGTACCTCTGGGATTGGAATGAGTGACAGCTCATAAAATTCAGAGTCATTGGAGACCTCTGTATGTGATTGACATGAAAAGCATTGAATTGTTTGATTTTTAAGAGTGTTTTTAGAGGCTCAAGGCATAAGGCTATGCATTTTTAAACTGGCTTCTCTGTGTAAAATACCCATATATTCATTTTGTTTCACATCAGAATCATCTGTAGCCTTTAAAATAACTGATGGGAAGGATAAAAGGGATACAGACTAGTGTATTTCCAGAGTAAAAAAAAAAAAAAAAACCAAAGGAAAGAAATTCCCTTATGAAAGGTGTTTTTTTCATTATTTTGAAGTGGATAATTGTTTCATTATCTGAATGCTATGATTTTTGTCGTTCTCTTGCCTGGTTTTCCCTATGAGCCATTAAAGCACAGAGGGACTCTGTTCACCTACAACCGTCTGTAAGATTCAGTGAGTCACTGGGTTAAATATGAGTTGTGTGGGTGTAACACATGCCTGGTGCTGCGTGGGGAGCCCTCACACCCCGAGCAGTGGCACAATGTTGGTTTTACAGCTGCAAGAAAGATGATGTTTGTATGGGGAGCTCTTGTCTGGGCCTCTGATACCACATATCCCTTCTCCATCTCTTCTACCAAAACATCAAGATGATTCTTTGTTTTCACTTAAAATATGTTTCTACTCTGTCCTCAGTTCCTTAAATATCACAGTGAACAATAAGTGTGATGGAAGATGTGCTGCTAAGATGAGCTGTGTGGTGAGGAATTGTGGCCAGCTGCTTGAAAACAAACCCATGTTTTATAAAGGTTGTCACCCACTGAAATGTCAACAGAAGCAATTCTCACTGTAGAGTATCGTGACAGGGACCTGAAACCTGGTTTCAGGTGTTCTACTGCCCTTGTGCTGTTTTGGTTAGTCTGGGTTCATGAGAGATGATAAGCATTTGGAAATAAAACCCGTGTGTTTTCTCACCCAGCCATCTGAGATCTGTGCTGCAAGAGACTGCAGAACTGGTTGTTCATTAAGTTGCTGTGAGAATATCTCCCTTTATTTATGGGTAGACGTGGTGGCTTCAAAAATGCAGTGTTGATTTTAAAAACTGCTGTAATAGCAGTTGACTAAGTAGCAGACTGTATTAAGAGAGTGTGTCAATAGGGAAAACAATAACATTGTTAGGCATTTATATTTTACTCTTAAACATGTAGAGCTGAAATTTCTGGAGCAGGCCTGATGCATTTTGAACTAAGATTGTATTTGCCTCTCTTAGTTCATAAAATCCAACGCTGGTGCTTGGGAAGACACTACAAAACCAAGGTAAACATCAGACTCTTTTTGTTTTCACTATGCAGTGCCCTCCAAACACCCTGTCTACGTTCTTCAGTCTAAAGTGGTCTCCTGGGATACTCTTTTCTCTAACAATCTTCCTCAGACTCCAGTGGGACTCCTTGGTGTAGTAAGTGTTACACCTGGGAGTAAAGGTTTGCAAGATTTGGTCTTGAATTGAGGTGCATAAAGAGAAGCGTAGGCCTCAACACAGAGAAGAGGAGGATGAGAGAAATCATATTGTCCTTTTTGAAATGGTGTTTTTTCATTTTAACTCACATTCAGAAGTGTTGAGTGGTAGTATAAGGGATGAATTTCCTTATGCACAGGTAAGGCTATTTTATTTATACCTTTTGGAGTTTGAACCCATGTTTTACGACCTATCCTACCAAGTAACTTTACAGAAAGATACCATCTTAACTCAGTGTAGATTTGTTCATATTCTTGACATAAAAAAATCTGTTACCTTAATATTGATGCTACTGTCCCAGTAGTTGTAAACAAATTATAACATCTGTTCCTACCAGTTTTCTAGTTATCAGAAAACAAAATGTAAGAAAATATGTAATGCTTTTATGCTGGAAACTCTCACTTTTGTGTAGTTGTTATGCAGTCTCAGTGCTGCAATAAATTTGTGAGGGAAGACAGAGCATAGAGGAGAGAATAAGAATTGCTGTAGCTACCACATATTCATCTTCCTTCTTGGTGAAGCCGTGCCATACTGGCCACAAAAAGTGTTGCAACTAAAGCTGGTTTATTTACTGTGAAAACTAAACAAGTGGAAGAGCCAAAGATGGAGAAAGAGTTAAAATTGCAGCTGCGTGTCTGTGGCAAACTATTTATAGCAAAGGAGAAATCCTCTTCAAAACAGATGCCCATCAATCTTCCTGTGTTCTATGCAATTTCCCATTTTCACGGTCAGACATCTTAATGTCACTGCAGTCAGGTGTGGAAAACTCAACTCATTATTGCATCTGCAGCTTCATAAAAACGCTTTCAATTCAAGGCATTCGTCTTTCAAAGACGTACCATTTCACTTCATTTCATGTATTGCCAAAGGAAAAAAGTAAATTAGACCTGCCTGAATGTTTACTGAGAATGGTTATGTAGCAAAAGTTAGTGGTTTTTTTTGTAGTTACGTCACTTAGCTAAAAAAAAGCTGTCGAAGAGAAGTTTGCAGTTTGTATCACACACCAAAACCCATTTTACTTGGAAATTTTGAAATCACTGCCAAGTCCCAAGACAAGCAAACAATTTTGCACAGGATTTACTGCATTAAGACAATCAGGTTTATACACAGAGATGAAAATCTGCTTGCTCATCAAACCACAGCATAAAAAATAGTCATTTTTCAGAACTCTCACCAATTGCCAGACATGATTATGCTCTGGTATCTACTAAATCCATTTGGCTGGAGAGATAGAAGGAGAAATTTTAATCATCTCTTGAATAATATTGTTGAAGTCATAGAGTAGTGTAGGTCTTTTTGTTGCAGTGCAGGAAACTACATATAAATGTCTTGGCTTTTTGCAGTTATGTTGATTATTCCTGCTGCTCTCCTGTTACTTGCAGGGTTAGCATTCATAAATGTTGCTCAGTGTACTTTGACAGGCCTAAATCAGGTAAGATAATGTTCTATGTCAAGTGATTCCACCAGATTCAAGTTGCTTTTCCCCACCACTAAGAGTACAGTTCATTGCAGAGAATGGTGGAAGGACACCAATGCAAGATAAATCAAGGTGAAATGAAGATGTTAGTCCTTCCTATTTACATGAAAATTACTCAGTCATGCAAGCCACAATATTAATGAAATATGAGGCTGTGACTAATGGAGTCACTCGAATTTATTGTGCTTCCCTTTGTCCAAACTGTCTGATTTTATCCTCTGTCAAGAGGGGTCTTGTTCTGCAGTGACTGTGCTTTGTTGTGGCACCTCGTTAAGGGTCACAGGCAATATTCATCCACATGATCGTGGTTCAAATCTAAGTCAACCAACCTTGTGCATTTATCAAAACTATATTTGGCTTCTTTCTGAGCACAGAAAATAAAGGGATCTCTTCTTCACTGCTTTCTGACTACAATAGCTTGTCTTTTTTATCATCTGGGGAAGATACTGATACAGTCACATCTGGTATATCTGCAGTTCAATAGAGACAAAAATCATTAATGGAAAATGTATTGAAACATCCTCTGGGATTTTTTTTTCATCCAAATGATGCCCACATGGTGTTATCTTTGCTCCCATGCAATCTGATTTTAGAAGGAAAAATATTATACCTACCTGAATTTTAAAATAGTCAGTGGGTGAGGTTGCTTTGCAGTCTTAGCATCAATATATTTTAATTGATATACACTTAAAAAATTCCTTAGCTCTGGCTGTCTAATCTTCATAGGTTGCTCCTCTCATACCCTTGGCAGATTTTGTAGTGCCCTGCTTGGTTTGGACTGGTACAAATAAAGGAAAACTGGTACCATTGGGTTTCTCCTATACTGAACAGTCCTTTGTAAAACAGGTGAGAGAAATCAGATAGTTTAGGGGCACAGCCGATGAGTAGAAATGGGGTTCTTAACAACTTGTGGGGACTTTGCAAAGGTGGCAAAATAGGATAGTTAGGTCACATCTGGAAGTGCCTTAGAAGAGATCAATATATGAACACTGTTCCCACTGGAACTGCAGGGAAAATTCTTGTAATTAATAATAAAAAAATTGATTTATGTGATGGCAGTGGTTTCAGATGACAGCTCTCAGGCAGCCCTGTAGGAATAAAGCACTGCAGTGTTTGGTGAGAAAGTCCAAGTATTGATTCAGTCTGATAAAATATTTTTCTTTATCTTTTGAGAAGTCCCAGTACATCGATGATATGAATAAAAGTTTGGTATTTCTAACACGTCAGGGGTCCCAACAGACACAATTCTGTTTTGTTACAGAAACTATATTCTGTCTCTGTCTCATTTGCTGCTGGACAATGTATGTGAACAGAGAACTGCACATAGAGGCAGGAAAGTATAATTCTCTATTTTTCTGAGGCTTAGGATACTGAATAGGTATCATTGTATCCATGCCTCTTGAGGAAAAAAAGCAGTGCAAAAACTTCTTGGAGTGTTTTTTTCTGTGTGCAGCCTCCTACTGACAGCTGCAGAGAGAAATGTCTTCTGGCCTTTTTATCCCTTCCTCTTGCTGTGTGCTTTTTCTATCAGCTATCCCATAAATATTTTGCTGTAACTGGCACAGAGGATGAGCCTTGCTCAGGACCTCATCAGGAATGAGACACAGAACTGGGTGATTTTAAGGCAGCTGGAGGCTACCAATCATCTTGCACAACTTCAGAGCTTCACAGTCCCCCTTGTGCTTAGATTTCAGTCATATGCTTAGTGTTTCACGACCAATTCATATTTATTCAATCTGGTGCCGAAGTTCATTCTTTGTTGTCAGCAGTTTGTATTCCCTGATCCTCATTACAGATCCCCCTTCCTGTCTATTCCCATCCTTTGCAAAAGCATAACTATCCTGCACATCCCTGGGCTCATCTTCTTATGCAGCATGTATCACTCACATGCTAAATAAGGCACTTCAGATTTTCAGATTTGGGTGAAGATTTCTGCGAGACACCTTATTGCACAAGGACAGGTGAAATTCCCTGTGGTGGGTGTTAAGATTGCATGGGTCCTGAGGACAGGATAAATCTCATTTCTTGCTAAATTTATCCTGAAAGATATTCTTAAGTATCCAAGGCAGGGGGAAAGGCATGCTTATGCTTGCTCTTTTGCCATTTAAAATATTTATTTGGAGTATTTCACAGTAAAACTAACACAGTTTTTTCTTGTTCTAAGTAGATGAGGAAGACAGTGCTGCAAGAAATTATGGTTTCCCCTTAAAAAAAAGACAGATCTACTGTAAAGCATGTAAGACATGCTGACAAGTGTGGTCTGGAATTGTGATTACATTAATTACTGTATTTGGGATTGGAAAACAGAACGAGTTAGCCAAAAAGAGCCTAGACTGCACTGGTATTTCTAAAGTATATAATCTGAGTTTCAGAGGCTGATGAAAAAAAAAAAAAGTCTCTTTTGTGTGTGACATCAAAGATTAGCATAAAAATCACAGATCATTTTTTACAGTATGATTATCACATTGCAAGATAACATGGGTTTCATCTTAGTGATCCTTAACACTGTACTTTGGTTCTTGCAGGGAGCATTACTATATCTATTTTTTTAAAGGAAAGCATAAATTGCTTATGGGTGGATGTTTAAGTGTTATACAATATGGCTTTAAACTTTTCCTACAATTAAAGCCTAATCCAAAACACTGAAACACATTATCAATTTTATGCTTAACTGGAGCATTTTTTCAACAGGTCTATTCATCTACTTAAAACTAAGCACATGCTTAAGTGCATTGTTGAACCGAGGCCAGAGTTGTTAAGATGAAGCAAAAAAAAGAAAAACCACAAAAAAAAGTCTAACAGATAATATGCATATTTTTGGGATTAAAATGTTCATTTCAAGGAGAGGAAGAGCTTAAATATCTATTATCTGCAGGCACAGGTGAAAGAGGCAGCTGCTGAGGACACAACTGTTGACAGCTATGGGTTGCTGGCTCTTCCTGGGACAGAGTGGATGAGATTGATTGTTCCAGCATTCCCTGCAGATCCCCTTGAATGGGGAGGTCAAACTGCCGGGAGCAGCAGCTACTGCTGGGGGGGGGTGGTGAGGCTGCCTGAGACAAAAGGGGCTTTGCTTCCTGAGGGTAAACTGAGGAAGGAGCAAAAAAAAAAACCAACAGGCCACTTCCAGTCCCACGCCCAATTTCTCCACAGACTGTATTTTTCTTAAAAGAAAACTAAAAAAGTAAAACTTCCACTTGAACCTTCTCCCAGAATATTTTTGTTTGCATGTTAAGTTTGGCCAGTGCTGCTGATCATCTCTGATGTTTGCAGTTAGTACTGTTTCATTGGTGTTTTTTTTACTGTTACAAATCCTGTGAGTTAAAGTTGCTGCTTTTAGGGCTGTTTTGCTGTTTTGCAGACAGGTAGTGACACCAATAGCAGTGTGGTGAATTATTCATAGAATCCCAGAATGGTTTGGGTTGGAAAGGACCTTAAATCTCGTGTCATTCCACACCCTGCCATTGGCAGAGACACCTTTCAGTATCCCAGGTTGCTCCAAGCCCTGTCCGACCTGGCCTTGACTAAACTTTTGGTGCAAGAATATGTAGAGTAACATATTGATCAGTAATATTAATAACCATTGATCAACAGTATTAGTAGGACTCAAGTGCTACCAGGTACCACCCTGAGCAAAGCCTGGTTTAGGAGGAAGAGGATTCCTGTTCCATGTGAAACCTGCAGGTAATACTGGAAATCAAAGCACTTAACATAGGACAGTCTAAAAGGAAAAGGAAGATTGTCCTTAAGCCAGTAGATGTTGCATTTTTTACTTTCCCTTCGTGGTCTCTTCCCTTTTTGCCCCTGAACTGAGCAAAACACCTACACCTTGGCACCCCTATAGGAATCCCCTGGCTTTAAAGTTAAGTAGGTGTTAAAGTGCTCTGTGACATCAGAGAGTCTGAGCAAGGAGAGGAAGAGGCCATTGTGTTGTAAACAGTGCTATGGAAACCGTGATTTGCAGAAGAAAGTGGAAGGAGGGAAGTAAAGAAAATATAATTTTTTCCCTCCCTTAATATTTAAATCATAACTGTGATTAGCGACCATGCTTCCTGTATTTGTTTAGGTAACATGATAGGCAAATGTAATTGTTTTGAAACTGCCAGAAATCCCTGTGTGTTGTTGCATGCTGAGGTAAGGATGCTTATATGTACAATTATCTACTGAAAACAGCTGACCTCATGCTCTTGTATCCTGAGCTATTTTGCAGATTGCCACGGTTCTCATACAGACCAGTGTATGTTGTCTAATGTCTAATTTTTTAACTTTTCACTTCTTGGCCCATGTTTGGCTGTAAAACTGCAGTCCTGTTAATTACAAAGAATCTATGTCTGTATTTTCTTTGTTTTGCCTTTTTGGGGGGAAATTAATGTTAGGGAGGGGAATTAGTTTTTTTAATTTTTTTTTCGTATAAAATGTTAAGTGACCTGTGGCAATTTCCATAGTATTTCAGTGGATTCTCTGCTGTTTAAATTGAACTTTACATCATTTGTCATAGTGACACCTGCTGCCCTTGTAATGGTTAAGGGTATGTGACTACATAGAACACACTTTTCAAAAAATGTATAACTCTACTGTAAAGACTTTATTCTGTGCTGAAACTTGGCATACAGGATTTTTGACTAGGAATAAATTATTCTTTAAAAGAAATGTGGTGGTGAGAAGTTGGTCATTCATAAGAGCTTAGTGTGCAGTAAAAGCAAATTGATTTTACTGACACATTTATCTGTTTATGCCTCCATAACGTGGACTATGAGAATGAAATTGTGCATTTGTTCACTTTTTCTGCCTTTAAATCTCAAATCAAGCTTCTGCTTAGGTCACTAGTGTAAATGGATCTGACTTTCTTTTCCTAGTACTCCTAAATATTTCTCTCTATCACAGACAATTTGATTAAAGATTGCTCAGCAAGGAGCCCAGCTGGTTTTCAGCCAGAGAAGAGGCATTCCTGGATGGAATCTTGGAAAATTCCTTTAAGGCTGTCCCAGTTTTGATGTCTTTTAAACCTGCTACTTGTGGAAACAGCAACAGGTGCTGTTCTTTCGTGTTAGGATTGGCTTTTTTTGGTAAATATTTCCCCCATTACTGAAATACTTGGGAAGGTAATCACTGCTGATAAACACTTGTTTTATGTGACGTTTTCCCCTTTATAAAATGGCTGTGAGTTTTCCATCATCTTTGCTGGAATCACCTTGAGCATCTATTTGACAAAAATCCCTTGCAAACCAAGCTTCCTGGTTTTGTAGTTGCATTTTACTAGGAATAGCAGTACAAATAAAAATTGCTTGTGCTTTTTTGGGGGGGTAATTGAGTGAATACAGGAAACTTTTTTTTCCAAAGCAGCATTGTGTTAGTTTATCTACTTGGTGCCAGAAAACAAAATCTGAGGCAATTTTACCACACTGTAGTGCACGGAGGGTAACAGTCAATTAAAAGTGTTGTCTCAATGGGCAGAAACTAAAGCAAGTTGAATTTGTACAGTCAAATTAACAGAGAGAAACTACAACAAAGTCTACTGTACTCCCGAAATAAGCCATCTGTAGCTAGTAAAGTGTGGCGTTTTCCTTTGCATTTTGTTGATTCACCTCAGGTTTCCCTTGTTTCTGCAAAGATTGTACTGAATTTATCCTGGTGTTTTGTCAATTATTTCATGGGGATGCCTTTGTGGCTCAATGAGATGCTGAGCAGACTGGTGTTAACGATTATAAATAAAGTAATAATTGTGACAGAGATATTGCAGATCCTCCTGTGCTCCAGCTGCCTCTCAGGAGGTGAGATGTGCTCGAATGGGGAAAGGATGTGGGTTGTGGATCACCTGCAGGTTGGGTGGGACCTGGGAAGCTGGTTCCGTGGCTGCATCCTGGGGGCTGTGGGCAAAACGCTGAAGGGATTGTCTCCAGCCTGCTTCTCATCCCTGAATGTGACTGGCATTAGTGTACAGCTTTGTCTTCATGGTAATTCAGTAACCAGCAGCAGCACCAGCATTGGTGACTTTTTATCCAAAGTCTAGACATTTTATATGAGGTTGGGGCTTCATTCTCGCTTTTGTAAGGGAGGCAAACACACCTTTTTTTTTGGGTCTTGTGGTCACATTATGGGTGCTCTGGTTGTATGCTGCTCTGCCTAAACAATCCCCAAAATAAGCACTCTTTTTATCTGAAGCTATGGTTTAGGAAGTAAAACACAGGTGTACCCACCTCCACCTGTGGAAGGGAACAGTGGGAACAGATCTGTCACTTGGGAGCTGAGCACCACCCAGTAGAGTTCAACAAATACAGGCTGTCACACAAAAACATTAGATAGTTGTATAGAATGGCTTCCTTACAGTCTTTAAGAAGATTAAGTGCTGGCTTTTTTTCTTTGGTCTGAACTTTGTAGAGGGACACCAGAAAAAGAGAGAATGTGGTGAAAGGCCTCATAACATGACCCATAGTAAATAGGTTTATTGGAAAAAATACAGGTGAAAATGAAGATATGCCATCCCCATCCCTTTGGAGCAAGGCTTGCGGAATAATTGTCGCAGAGCTTCCTGAGACAAAAATTTGTAGACTTAAAAAAACCTCCTGGGCTGAGCAGTGGTGAGCCCTGGAGGGTGGTGGCTGTGATCCCAACCAAACAAAACATGTAAACACGTATTTAACCTTCGAATCCCTGGGTAATTCCACTGGCTTCTATGGTAAGTGATTTATTGGACCGAGACCAAGAATGCAGCATTTTTGGAAGAGTAACCCTTGCCAGCGTATTTAATGCCTGCTTTAACAAATTTTCTGGGTCAGTTTCTTCCCTTTGTGTGCCCAGTGCTCATCATCCCCTCGGGCCTGTGCTTTGTGCCATCAACCCACCAGCCATGAGCCCCAAGGGCACCATGGGACATCACCTCCTCTGGTGGGAGGGGATGATGCACACCATCATCTGCCATGTTCTGAAGGTGTTAAATTGTACAGAAATATATCCCACATCTTTGTGGAGCAGAGCATTTGAAATTATATACATTAAAGTCAAATACAGGAAACTCCAGATAGTGGAAATAGAGAGGGGTTTGTTTGTTTTGTTTTTTGAATGATTAATACCAAACATCATTTCATTCAGTACTGAAAATCCTCTGCACCAGGCATTGCTAGGTAGTCAATAATTCAACAAGACAGTGTTTATAGTGAAAGTTGGTGTAAAATACAATTTGCAAAGCTGCAAACTGGACTGAGCTTCTGTTTACATTAAATACATAAACAGCAGAGTGGTTTGGGTTGTATTTTGTGTGTGTCACACATACAGTGCATGATGCGGCTCTTGTGTGTACACAGCCCACACATAAATATTTCCCATTAATGCATTCAGTTAGGAAATCAAGTGCCCATGACCAAGGACAGTGCACAAAGTGTGTAATGTGAAGTTTATATGACGATGGCAATAATCATATTTCCCATTGCAGATAAGGATACTTAATATTTATGTAGTGCTTTCCATTTAAAAACATTTTAAAAATAGTAATTAGCACAAGCCTATCAAGGGAAAAATAATTTGAGGCACAGATTCCTGTGAGTGAGAGAGGCCTTGGGAAAGCAGTAATGCCAGAAGAGACTTAAATGTAGTAAATGACAGCAAATTAGGCATGAATTTGGAATAGTGATTTGACAGCAATGAAGACTAATTCAATTTTAGTCTAATAAGCAGGGGTCTTCTGTCACTGAGGATGCTGAAATCTCGTTAGCAGAGGGATATTGACAGGTGGAGAGATGGAGAGAAGAGCAGCGTACATGGGAAAGGTATTTGGAGCCCAGATTTATAAGGGATGATTTTAGGTTAAATACATACTGGTGGGCTAAAGGACAACAAAGGAAGCATTTGATAAGGCTTGAAGGGTATCAACACGGAGCAGAGGATGTAATATGAGGAACGGGATTAGAAAAGATGGCTTGAAATGAATATGAGCTTTTGGATAATATGGTAAGAAATTGTCAGTTATATTTATTGGCTTGCAGAATGGTATTTCCAGAGCAAAATGAAGCAGCATCTCTTGCTGAATTTAGCAGTGTGCTGCAAAAATATTAGTAGTGAGGAAGAGTTCTTCTGGAGGAAATAGATTAGTTTGGCAAATTTCACAGAGCTCGTTTCTCTTCACAGTCCTTTGTAAGGTAAATACAATATATTTACCTTACATCTAATACTATATTCTGGAAAACCAGTGTAAATATAGAAATTAATTAGTTTGTGCATACAAGAAGGCCAGTGCAGCTTTAGATCTGTTTTCAATAGATGTGCAAGCACTGAATTGTAGCAGATTTCTCTTTCAGTTGTCAGGGCATCCTGCCTCGTCAGGGCATCCTGCCTCCTTGTCATGCACCTTGTTTTCTTAGAAATTATTTCTACAGACAAAGTGCTTGTTCTCCATTGGCATTCTCCATATGTCATTTTCTCTATGTCTCTTGCAATCACACTAATGTTTTGGGATCAGCTGAGCTGAACAGAGTCTAAGTTGGGGTTTCATTAAGTTCAAATGACACTTATTTTGATGAATGATGTCTCCATCCACATTAGGGAGTAGTTTCTGCTGAAATGGGCTGCTCTGATTGAAAAACTCATCTTTGGGCTGTGGAAAAGGAATCCTGCAGTGTTTCCAGTACGTAATTAATGTGCATAGAGGATATGTGCTGTGTGGCTTTTCCAGTTTCAACCATAGCATTTCATAGCACGTGTGCATCTTTTGTAAGACAACACAACTGAGTGTATTTTTTAAAGAAGTCTGCTTATTTCTTTATTTTTGAGCATTTTGTTTAATTAAATCTTTAGACTTCTACTCATATCCTCTGTGGAGTCAGATTTCCAGCTCTTGTGGAGTATGTAAGATGATGAGGGATCTGGAGCATCTCCCTGATGAGCAGAGACTGCAGGAGCTGGGCCTGGTAACTCTGAAGAGGAGAAGACTGAGAGGGGATCCCATCAATCCACACAAATATCCCCAAGGGGTGTCAGAGGATAGTCCCAGACTCTGTTCAGTGGTGCCCAGTGACAGGACAAGTGGCCATAAACCAAAACACCGGAAGTTCCCCCTCAGATGTGGCAGAACTTCTTTCCATGGAGGTGGCAGAACAGCTGCCCAGGGAAGTGTGGAGTGTCCCTGTCTGGAGACATCCCAGACCCACCTGGACATATCCCTGTGTCACCTGCTCCAGGGAACCGGGCAGAGGGTTGGGTTGGGTGATCTCCAGAGGTCCCTTCCAACCCTAAATATCCTGGGATTCTGTGATTTATAGTTCTTTACAATATTAAACTGAGTACCTTTGCCTCTTTGAATCTTCCTACAGGCTCCTGCTACCATGAGCCCTGCTTTCAGTAGGATTATGAATGAGATTCCATCCAAAGACCCTTTTTTTTTATTATTTTATTCATTGCACAAGATCCCAGCATGCAGAATTACTGGAAAAAAGCTTGACTTGAAACAAGTGCCATCAGAGAGGGCTTGGAAGTTTGAAACCTATTGGTGCAAGGGACCCCCCTGACAACAAACAAGAACATTAAAGTATTAGAAAAGAAGGAAAAGAGAGAATTTTTTGTCTGTCCACTAAAGAAAATCAAACAAATAAACAAACAAAAAACTCAACCAAAAACCCAACAACAACAGAAAAAAACCCAAAACAATGAAAAAAACCACTAAAAAAAAATCACTGGAAAGGAAACAACCCAACTACATTGCTGCTGAGGCATAGTCTGTTGTAATTGTCCTCAGAACAGGTCTTTTTCCGTACCTTCCCCCGGTTATGGGAGTAGGAACCTTGCTTGGTGAGATGCTTGAAGGCAAAGCCATGTCAGACTTCCCAGGGGATGCTGTTTTACAGCCGTGATTTGATGTTGCCTAAGTTTCTCCTGGAGCTTTAACTTTGCTGGAAAGCACCCAAAGATTCTTTCCTTTCCGAAGCTCCTTCTATGAAAGCTGTGGCTAGTGGCAGGAGGAAAATTCCATAAATTCATCCGTTGTGGCGTTGCCTGTGCCAACACGAATGCAAGTGTGTGCTTTTTCTGCTTCCAGTGGTTTTAACAATGTACCAACACGATGCAGTGTGGAAAATAACAATGAAAACCAAGTGCTGTTTGCATTGCTATGTGTGCATTGTGCTGCCTGGATCCCCCTGGCTAATTTATTGCCTCCATGTTTCACTCTCGAGGTTAAATTAAGTCATTATCTTTTGAATGAGGAGGTTTTCTTTCAGCTTAAGATGTTATTTCTCCTCTAATGCCTATGGCTAAATGCACAAGAAATTTGATGGTGGGTTTGACATAGCAGTGAATTCTTTTACAGTGGTTTGACAGTCCCTAACAGATGATATAGCAGTTTTCATTCATTTAATTGTAAAATTCATTACAAATACCTTTCATTATGTAGAAAATAAATGCTATGTGATTGATTTCCAAAGTTTTAAGGCTTTATGGACAGAAGTTAATTTTTCAAAGCTTTTTCTGCTCTTTTCCAACACCCTAAAGAAAACACTTTGTCTTATTACTTGGCTGATTTCCCTGAAATATTGAGCTGTGGGATGAGACTTTGTTTAAACAGCTCCAGACCCTGCACTGTGTTAATGTGGATGATTTTGGGAGGAGCAAACTGTGTTCCAGTAAAAACACAGCAATAAAATTTGCAACCTACGACTTCCGTTTGATTAACCGGATTCTTTGGGATTTGGTTTCCAGCATCGCAAATTGGGTCAGTAATTGATAGTTCATTGTGCTGCCATGTAATTCATGGGGGGTTTTGTAGTTTGGTGTTTTTTTGGTTTTTTTTTAGAAAACCACAGCACAGGCATGACTGTCTCCTGGCCAGGGAGAAAGGACCGATTAGGCAACAGGAACTTGGATCACTGAACTGCTTCTTCATGATGGGCTCTCACACTCTTGGCAGGCCCTGGATTTGGAGGAGTTTGTAATCCTGGCTCAGCTGTTTGTGTGCTGTAATGTGGAAAATAGCATCCAAGGGGAGGTAAAAGTAGGAAAAGTCAGGGGTGGAGGGCTGTCAGTGGACAGGAGAGCCTGAATTACTCTCTGAAATGCATCAATTAAAACAATCAAATATGTCAATATGTCAAATATATCAAATCAAATAATCAATAATCAAATATAACCATCATGATACCTTTATGGAAAATTAATACTAATTAACCCAACCGAGCTCAAAGTGCAGCCTGTCTTTATTTCAGTGATCTCTTCAATTAAAAATACATGTTGCTTGCCATGTCATCAGTACAATGCGACATCGTTTGCTGCTCTGTGGAAATAGTTACATCTTTAAAATGAGGGGGTGGGGAGTTGTGCATGAAATCTGCCACAGCGTTAAAGTATTATTCCATAAGCAAAGAAATAGTTTATGGTTCAAACCAAACCTGGTAAGTACCAACTTGCAGTTACTCAACATTAGCCGTGTTAGTGAGTGTCGTTTTCCAAAATCAGTTCTGTCATTTTGGATTATTTTCTGTGCGCCGTATATCAAGGGTGTTTGTCTTGACAGAAAGCAAGATACACTCCTCTCTGTCCTAAATTATGTGTTTAAGATGAAAAATAGAATGTAAGGATGAATTGCTGTGATGAAACATACGCAAAGTTATTTTTATGTGTCTTTTGTTGAGGTAACTGTAGTTCTTCTGGAAATTTCCATTTAACTTGAAGCCATGGCTGTCCAGATCTCAGGACTTGCTCCAATTCATTAAATACTTCTTTGACATCCAAGACATGTTTGATTTGTTTTTTTTTAGATTCTTCTACTAAGTTTCTAGTAGCACAGAAATACAAGCCTGAGTGATCAATGTACTTGAACAACCAGACTTAAGTAAAAGATTGTCTCAAAAAATGCTCTTTATTCACCTTGTGGTTATTGGTTTAATATTTACCTCTAGACTGTTTTTAGTGTATTCACTCAGAAATACCAGTTCAGCTTCATGACAGGAACTGAAGAATCTGGGAATAAACACTGTCCTGTCCCAGCAGCAAACAGAACAACTCATCTGTTCCCCTCCCACAAAGCTCTTCAAAAACAAATTTACGTCGGTGCTTACTATCTATATATTTTGTCTGGCAAACATATAAATTCAACATCTGTCTTTCCGTCATGTATTACAGTCCCCAAAAACCAGTCATATATATATGGTGTATTTTAAAAGGAAATTTTAGTGGCTTTGTTCTGTGTTGGAGAGGACACTTTTAAAAGCTTGGATACACAGGAGAGTATAATCTGCATTTCAGGTGCAGTGTGTCGCAGTATTCATTAATATTAGGTGTCAGACTTATGCTGGACAGTGCCACATACTATTCTAATTCGTAAGCCTTTTTTCATGTCTCCTCCCTAAACTCTGAAATTAAAATTTGAGAGAGACCTCATGACTTTCTGAGAATGTATGTGGTTTAGTCTCGGAAATAGTCACGCCTAAGAAAGACCAGAGCACCACTGGTGACAGGAACATTGCACAACAGATTTCAGGAAGAGCAGTGAAGGTTGCTAAGCATTTTATCTGTTATGAGTAGGAAAAACGCTGTATGTGGATGAGTGTAATTAGGTCACTGGTCTGTGTACCCAAAGCCCTAGTTTCCCAATGTTTCTTAGAATTAACATGGACGTATATTTAATGTGTATCCTTGATTTGGCCGAAAAACATAGCTGAGCAATTCCTAACTGCCTACACATAGTTATATTTATATACATGGCTTCATAGGCATAGATTATTCCAAGAGGATAGGCAAGGACATATCCTCCTGAAATTTGCTCAATAGCCTCCAATTTCAGATACAGTGAGATTGCCAGGCTCTGAGATACACCTTTGATACTGCAGAGCTCCCTGAGTATCTGTCACATAAGGGACAAGTTCAGGAGGCCTGTGGACCACAGGTATTTCCTTGGATTTCTTATGGAGGTTGGATATCGCAGGATGCAAACAAGTGCTTGGAGCCAGAGGCTGCAAGAATGGCTGGGCAGCCACTTAGCAAACTGCCTTCAAGATGTGTTGGAAAAATCTGTTTCCAAATCTCTCTTTTAAGGTTGTTTTATTTCTCCCTTAAATGACAGGGTCAGAATTTGGCCTTTCAAAATAGTTGTTAATGCAAAGTGCTTTACTTATTGTGCTTTTTTTGCAACAACGACTTTACCGGGATTCTTATCTGTGTGGTTTTTCTCAGTGGTAACAACTCTGGGATAACAGATTGTGGAAGGGGGGGAAAAAAGTGTTCCTGAGAAGGAAGGAGTGGTAGAGACCACCGGTGATGTCTCTGCCCTGCCCAGCTGAGGAGAGGGGTGATGGAGTAGCTTTTGTGGGCACTGGGGTCAGCCACCACAACATGCTTATTCCACACTGGACTTTTCATTTAACTTTATCCCCTCCACCCCCAACCCTTACCCTAACTCTAGCCCCACCCCCGGCCAAAGATTATCTTAAACTTCCCATAGCACAAAGAAGCACTGTGAACACATTAACCCAGCAAACCCTTCAGTGTCTCTGGAACTCCCTTCTCCATTACAGGGGTTTATGTTTGGAAATAAATCATCCACTTGAGGTTCTGCTGGAGTTGCAGTATACATAACCTTTTTAAAAACTGCTCCTGCCCACCAAAAGCTTTCACCCAAGTGTTTCTCTCCCTCACCCGGCTTTGTAACACTTCAGTTTTTGATCATTCTACAGGCATTTAATCATCATGAAGACATTTTTAACAGCACAGTGGTTCATCAGCTTCAAGCTGTGTGGAGGCCAATCAGCTCTGGTGAGGCAGGACAGTGCCTGTGAGGGAATTTGAATTGTCTGGGTTTTTTTGCTTTAAAGAGAAGTGTCTTTGGGCTCAGCATTCCCTCTATCAATTTAATTCTGGCTGCTCATCTTGTATTGATCTGAACTGCTCACCAGAGACAGTTTAACTGGAGTTTTTGTCTTTTCAGGCAACGATTGAAAGAAAAAAAAAACCCACCTTTGAATTAAGCATCATCTGCAAGAAGAGTTTTCTAGGAATGTCTGGTTTTATTACACTCCTGTTGTCTAATTTGTGATTGTTGACACGTAATAAGCACACAGAAGTGCTGAAGATGAATGACTCAATATGATAAATCAGTAACTTCCCTTCCTCTGGCCCTGCCTCTGAGGCTTCATTCCTTTTTTTGATCCAA